AATATCCTTTCTTTCGCTTGGTCGATTTGGCTATGATACTTGCGTATTTTTCATGAAGTGCTATGTTTTTGAGCTCCATCAGGTCATTTACATACCTCTCTCAACTTGTTATTCGAGTTAGCAGCTCCTGTAACATTCCATCAAGGTTCTTAGCTTGTTTGTATTGGGTTAGAACATGCTCCTTTAGCTCCGCAGTGTTTGTGATTACCCACCTTCTGAAGCCTACTTCTGTCAATTCATCCGTCTTATCCTCCATTCAGTTCTGCATCCTTGCTGGAGAGGCACTGCAATCATTTGGAGGAGAAGAAGCACTCTGGCCTTTTGGGTTTTCAACCTTTTTTTGTTGATTCTTTCTCATCTTCATAAGTTTGTCTAGTATTAATCCTTGAGGCTGCTGACCCTTGGATTGGGTTTTTGTAGGGAATTTTTTGTTGTCGATGCTGTTGTTGTTTGTTTGTTTGTTTTTCTTGCAATGGTCAGGTCCCTCTTCTGCAGGGCTGCTGCCGTTTGCAAGGGGTTCACTTCAGGCCCTCTTCATCTGATTCATTCCCATGCCTGGAGATGTCACTCGAGGAGACTGGAGAACAGCAAAGATGGGTGCCTGCTCCTTCCTCTGTGATATCTGACCTCAAGGGGCACCAACCTGATGCCAGTAGAAATGCTCCTGTATAGGGTGTCTGACAACCCCTATACAGGAGACAGTGTGAAGAAACTGCGTTAGAGGGTCTCACCCAGTTGGGTAGCAGAGGGAACAGGACCCACTTAACAAAGCACTTTGACTGTCCCTTGGTGGAGGGAGTGTGCTTCACTGTGGGGAAACCCACTCATCTGGGCTGCCCAGATTCCTCAGAACTGCCAGGAGGGAAGGCTAAGGTCTGACAGTCCACGGAGATTGTGGCCACCCCTCCCCCTAGAGGCTCAGGCCCAGAGAGATTAGAGTCTGTCCCTAAGCCCCTGGATGGAGTTGTTGGAGTTCCTGCAGGGAGGCCCCGCCCAGTGAGGAGGGAGTGTCAAGGTCCGGCCTGAAGAGGCGCTCTATCTGCAGTCTGCCACAGCCAGTGTGTTGGGCTGTGGGGGATGCTTCTCGGGACAAAGCAGTCCAGCCTCCCTGGCTCCAGCAGAGGAAAGACATGGCCTGGAGCTATAGAGATGGCTGCCACCCTTCCCCCGCCTGGGAGCTTAGTGTGTTAGGCAGCTTTCGGTCCCATTGTTGGCCATAGCCCCTCCTGCAAGGAGCTCAAAGGGCTTAGATAGCAGGCAGCAGGCAGCCGCAGCTGTGGTGCTGGTTGCCCCTCCTGCTGGGAGCTCCGCAGGCTTAAGCAGATTCTAGCTTAGTGGCTGTTGAAAATCTGCTGGGTTCTGTAGTTGGGACCCTAGGCCCGGGTGGTGTGGGCTCACAGGTGAGATCTTCTGATCCGTGAGTTGCATAGTTCCATGGAAAAAGCACGTTTTCCCAGGCTGGGTAGCAGGCTCACTCACCGCCTCCCTTGGCTGGGGCCCGCGGCACCACACTGCTTTTCCTTCCTCTCTGTGTGTCACGCCAGATGCCTCGTCAGTTCTGATGACAGAACCTGGATACCTCGGCTGCCAGTGCAGGACTCACATGCTGTTATGGTTCTTTTAGATGGGAGCCACAGATTCCTGCTGCTTCTGGTTGGCCATCTTGGCCCCGACCCCCACTTTTAATTTCTTTCAAGAACTTTTCCTTTGCATTCACAACTTAGCTAACTGTTTGGTGCAAGAGACCTAGCTTAAGGCCTATCTCAGCTTTTGTCATACTTTCCTCACTATGCTTAATCATTTCTAGCTTTTGATTTAAAGTGAGAGACATGCTATTCTTTTCACTTGAACACTTAGAAGCCATTGTCGGGTTATTAACTGGCCTGATCTCAATATTGCTGTATCTCAGGGAACAGGGAGGCCTGAGGAGATGGAAAGAGATCAAGGAACAGTCAGTGGGTAGAGTAGCTGAAACACAAACAACATTTATCGATTAAACTTGTTGTTTTACATGGATATTGTTCATGGCACTCCAGAACCATTACAATAGTAATTGTAATTGTAATAATCAAAGATCACTAATCACAGATTACATAAGAGATAAATAAAATAATTTTTAAAGTTTCAAATAATTTGAGAATTACCAAAATGTGAGACAGAGACACAAACTGAGCACATGCTGTTGGAAAAATGTCGCCAACAGACTTGCTTGACACAGAGTTGTCATAAACCTTTAATCTGTAAAACACTGCAGTATCTGTGAAGCACAATAAAGGGCAGCACAATAAAACGAGGTGTGCCTGCGCTAAGTCCAAAATGGTGATTCCTATAGCAGCACTGACATCCCAAACCCCTATCCTTGGCTTCATACCTAAATATCAAGCAATTCACATTTCACACAGGTGGTTCAAATGAACACATCAAAAGTGAACTCATTCTCCCTGCCACATCTACAAAGCTGCTTCTTTGCCCCAGTTATTGGTTTAGTTACCCAAGCTAGAAACTGGAAGGCTTCCTGGGCCATTCCTTCACCCTGTCTCAACCCATCAGAGTCCTGCTAATTTTGTTCCTATTTACATCTCTCAAGTTCCCTTTGTCTATCTCATGGTCTGGTTGGTATCCTTATCCTCCTTGGCCTGGAGTACTGAAGCAACACCCTACCTTGTCTCTCTGCTCCAGCTTTATCTCCTATAATCCATCCTATGCTATGTAGAAACCATAACGACCTTTTTAAAATTCAAAACTGCCAAATCAGTTCCTGCAACTTACCTACCTACAACCCTTCGATGGTTTCCTATGATCTACAGAGTTAAACCCAAGCTAGTTCAGTTATCCATTTTTTCAGTCTGATCTCCTGTCATTCCTAGTCTACTTTTTGGTATATTGGTCCAGGTCATTCCCTACAAACACTTGGCTCATGCTGTCCTTTCTGCTAGAATGTTTATCCCCAACTCTTCCTCATTTAACTAACTTGTACTTATCACTTACAACTCTATCCAGGCAACACATCATTCCCTTCATCTGCTTTTCCTATTAAATAATTATTGGAAGTATATTTTCTATGCCTTCAAATCTAAATTTACTAAAAGTTCCACTTGTAAGAGATAACATTCCAAAGTAACATCAGAAGATTCTGTTCTTCTAGTAATACTAAGCCATCATATATATTTGCTACACTAATAGCTGATCCTATATTGTGGACATCATTAAGATAGGCAATGCAATTAGAAATATAAGTATGTATATGTGTGTGTATGTCTATATAGTTTCCCTTAAATAGCTATCCCATGTTAGCCACTGCAATTTGTAGAATTGGTAATGATTGAGAAAGGAGGCCCAATGGTGTGAAGGAAAGAAAACCAATTTTGGAAAAGAGAACTGGGTTTGGATTTAAGTTCCATCATATCGGGTTTAATGTTATAGAATAAAGAATTTAATAATTCTATGTCCTTATCTGTAAAATGGGGATATTACCACCTCCTTATAAGGTTGCTGTTATAACATCTAATAAGTTATTAATGAGTTTGATACATGACATGGTACATGGTAGATACCGAAAAAACAGTAGCTTTTAACATAGTTATTAATGCTGAGCAGTTAAAAATGTGACAAGCAAAAAAACACATGCAATACCTTTGATTAAAATGTGAGGTGCCATGATTAAAAGTTGCATTCATTTTAAAACACACAAAACCCTGCACAGCTTCAAAACATTTGTACCCCTGCAAAATTTGTCTTTAGTCCACCCATGTTTATCAAACCATCCTTCTCTCCCCAACATCCCCCATTTAATAAGATCATTCCTCTCTTGGACTAAATGTTAAAAGAGTATAATATAATTCTTATACTATAAATAAAATTTAAAAATAGAATAGGATAATATATTTTATTACCTTCATGATATACTAATCTGATTTGATTATATACAAAATAGCTCAGTGTTATTGAGTCAGTAATTATTTCGTCAGTCTCTGTAAAGTATATAATATTTAGAGCCAGTACTTAAAATAATCTTCATAAAGTTTACAAATTGTACCAAGTAAAAAAATACAATGTAGTTATTCCTTGTATACTCATTTAAACAAATATCTATTGCAGCTTTACTACCTTACGGGAATGCAAAAATGAACAATGACATAATCCTTGCCTTGTGACTTATAGTCTAGCAGAGGAATTAGTCACATATACAACTAATCATCATAAAATATAAAAAGTACAGTATTAAAAATGAATAAAGAATTGTAGGAGCTCAAAGAATTATGGTAGCTAAATCTTCTAGGCTGAGGGTTGGTTCCTTGCAAGGGAAGTTACATATGAGGACATAGAGGAATTGAATAGATGGACAGGGAGATATACGGAATAACAAACAGCAGGAACAATTTGCCACATATGTCTGGACAGTTTCACTGTCTTGTCATGAATACATATGTGCTACACGAAAAGGGAAAAGTGGTAGGTAATTCGTCTTTCTGCATGTTTACTTATCCTTTGCTAAGAGTAAAACACTGTTTAAAACAAGGAAAACAAGTGAGCACACTCATTATTAGAATCATATCTATGCCTCACTAACATTTATTCAAATGAACTATGTCCTCTGTCTTAATTAGAGTTACTGCTATTCACTCTGAGTTGATAACATGTAAAACTTTGGCGAAAACATTTGACTCTCACAGATTTATATTCTTAACCTAAATCTTTGCTGAATATTATTTCCAAATATTTACATCTATAAACAAGGCTGAGGCTCTTGTCTGAGTTAATAATGTCTTCTTTTTCTTTTTGTAGACAGAATTAACATGAAAATATTAATAATGTATATTATAGAGACCAGAGCTAGGAATAAAAGACTAGGCCACACGCTAGGGCTGCTTACTCGGATAGCCCAGTTCAACAAAAGAGTAATACAGGCATCTGCCACTTGCTTTTCCTTCCTTTAGGCTTTAGCTGTGTATATCCTCCTACAATAGTCCAGGAATTCATTCCTCTGTTGTGACACTTACCTTCATGATTAAGCTTCTATGTTCCACAGATTCACTAAAATTGGTGCCCATTTCAAATATACTTGTGACTCCATCCTCACACAAATTCATCCAGTAATGATATTCCTCACGCCCAGGAAGTCGATCCCAAAAAGTCCTGAAGGCTTCCCAGACAGCTTCCTGACACACTAGAAAATAGAGAGGTGTTTTTTACAAAAAGCTAACATGCTCTGGGGTTCTTACAATGATCATAGACGGATTCACACAGATTCCTTGAGACACTCAAGTGTCCTTTCTGGAGGGACCTAGGAATGATTCTCAGTCAAACGCCTTCTGTTTGTATGTCCAGTTTAAACTTTTCATTTCTGAAGAGAATTTATATTTCCCATTCCTTTCTCTTACAAAGGGAATTGATTCATCTCTTCATGAGCTGGAGTGTCTCCCCCATCTCTTAAAAAAGTCCATATTTATACTTTACAAAAGTGGAGCTGATATTGAGTATACTGTATTTAATCCAATTGTTTTCCTAATGGACACAGTGATTTTCAGTTTCCTTAATGTTCGCAGATGTTCTCCTAAAGCCTTAACTTCAAAAACCAGCTTCTTTGCTTTTCAGGATCACTGGGGAAGGAGACACTGACATTTATAAATGGCCTGGAGCTTTTTGGCTAAATGCAGTGACATAACCGCAATGCATCTACTTACTCAAAACGTCATCACATGTTTCTGATTAAAACAAACAAACAAACAAACAAACAAAAACAGGAGTATTCAAACTTTTCCTCAAAGCTTACAGGAAGCAGAAAGTACTACATAAAATCGAGTAGAAGATATCCACCTGAAATTATCACTCTCAAACTACTATATTTCATATCTGAGAATAGAAAATAATCGTCTTTTTTATACATAAAAACTTATGTCCACACAAAAACCTGCACACAAGTATTTATAAAGTCGCTGTATTCATAATTGCCAAAATGAAGATGTCTTTCAATAGGTGAAAGGATGAACAAATTGTGATATATCTAAAATATTACTCAATGATAAACAGAAGTGAACTTTCAAGCTATAAAAGACATGGAGAAAACTTTAATGCACATTGCTAAGTAGAGGAAGCCAACCTGAAATGACTGCATACTGGTGATTCCAATATCATTCTGGAAAAGGCGCAACTATGGAGACAGTAAAAAGATCAGTGGTTTCCAGGGGCTGGCAGAGACAGGGATGAATAGCAGATTTTTAGGGCAGTGAAAGTACTCCATATGATACTATAATGGAGGATACACGTCATTATACATTTGTCAAAACCCATAGAATGTACAACACAAAGAGTGAACCCTAATGTTAACTATGAACTTCAGTTAATAATAATGTGTCAATGTTGGCACATAAATTGCAACACATGTACCACAGTAATATAAAATGTTAATAATAGGGAAAAGTGGTGGGGGAGTTGAGGGAATATATGGTAACTCTCTAAACACGCTTCTCAATTTTTCTGTAAACCTAAAACTGCTCTAAGAAATACAGCCTATTAATTTAAGATCTATATATATACACACAAACATACATACATACACATGAACTTTAAAATGATATTCAGGAGAAATATATTGCTGTATTAAAATAAAAACTAATCAATTTATTTGCTAAGTTATTCCAAAGCATCAAATCTGAAAGGCTGCTAAATAGTATCTCTGTGCATTTTGTGTAGTACTGAATGTACTGCTGTTCTGTAACCATTTCAGAGGTGCAGGACTCTGTAGGTAACAGATAGATCAGGATGGAAGGGAAGAGGAAGAGAGTGATAAGAGAGAAAGTTAGATTTAACAGAGATTTTAAAAAAAAAAACTATTTTTCATAGCAAGAAGATTGAATACACATCAGGCAGTATAGTGAGGTGGAGCCTCTGGATTCACACAGTCGGAAGATCTAAGTTCCTGCTCTAGCTTTCTAGTACACTAGTTTGATAACCATGGGTAACTTACCTAACTATTCAAAGCTTCAATCGACTCATCTCTCTTTTTTAACAGGATAAATAATTATTACCTTATTATCATATCTGTGAAAGTATTTTACAAATTGCAAAGTGCAACATGAATATCATATGTTAGTATCAGGTTCAATTCTTATTGTCCAATAGTTATTTGGTGGAAGAAGATAGTCCAAGCCAAAAAAATTCTTAAGCATTAACAGATTATGAAATGTATGAGTATTGAAAGTTTCCCTATCAATTGAGTTTTAGGGCTAAACTGAACCTTTTATTACAAACTTAATTTGCCTTTTATTGAACTAACTGTATCCTTATTATTGTTATTCAGAACTTTTAACCATACAGCAGACAGAAGAGTCCAGCAGGCACTGACTAGGGCAGAGCTGAACTATTTGTAGATCATTGTTTTTCATTTCTTCTTCTTAAAACTTCGAAATGAACATTAAAGTAAATTCCAAAAGACAACACAAAGGTGAAAAGTCTGGGTCAGTAAAAACTAACAAAAAGTGAATGTCTATAATGTCTGGTTATGAAATTAAGTGATTCAGAGAAAGTATTTTAAAAGTTTGAAAAAATAACTATCTACCCATAGGGAAAGAAAAAATGAATCTCAATGCCTTCATACTACACACAAAAAATGATTTGAAATATTAGGGTTAATACTATGAAGTTTCTAAAATAAAACATAGAAGAATATCTACATCACTTGAGGATAGACAGAGGTTTTATAGACAGTACACAGAAAGCAACAATTATGAAAGAAAAAAATAACAAATTAGAATTCATCAAAACTAAAGTGTCTGATTATCAAAAGACACTGTTAATAAAAATGAGTAGGAAAACCCCGTATCTGGCAGAAAATATTCAAATACATTTATCTGACAAAGAATTGGCATTTAGGATACTGAAATAATTCCTACAACTCCCTAACAAAAAAACAAACAACCTAATTTTTACAATAGGTAGAAGGCTGGAATATATAATTCACAAAGAAAGAGATACAAATAGCCAATGAGTATGTGAAAAACTGTTCACCATCATTCATTTTTCAGAGAAATTCAAATTAAAGTATCCACACACAAACCAGAATGACTGAAATTTTTACATGGAAAACACTAAAATTTGGCAAAAATGCAGAGCAACCAAAAGCATCATTTTGGTAGGAATGTATAATAGTACAACCACTTTGAAAATAAATGTTGTTTCTTTTTTTTTTTTAATTATACTTTAAGTTCTAGGGTACATGTGCATAACGTGCAGGTTTGTTAAATATGTATACTTGTGCCATGTTGCTGTGCTGCACCCATCAACTCGTCACCACTCATCAACTCGTCATTTACATCAGGTATAACTCCCAGTGCAATTCTTCCCCCCTCCCCCCTCCCCGTGATAGGCCCCGGTGTGTGATGTTCCCCTTCCCGAGTCCAAGTGATCTCATTGTTCAGTTCCCACCTATGAGTGAGAACATGCGGTGTTTGATTTTCTGTTCTTGTGATAGTTTGCTGAGAATGATGGTTTCCAGCTGCATCCATGTCCCTACAAAGGACACAAACTCATCCTTTTTTATGGTTGCATAGTTTCCATGGTGTATATGTGCCACATTTTCTTAATCCAGTCTGTCACTGATGGACATTTGGGTTGATTCCAAGTCTTTGCTATTGTGAATAGTGCCGCAATAAACATACGTGTGCATGTGTCTTTATAGCAGCATGAAAATTATACACCAATCCTATTGGATTAGTTCATTCTCATGCTGCTATGAAGAAATGCTCAAGAATGGGTAATTTATAAAGGAAAGAGATTTAATTGACTCACAGTTCCACATAGGTGGGGAGGCCTCAGGAAACTTACAATCATGGTGGAAGGGGGAGCAAACACATCCTTCTCCACATGGCATCAGGAAAGAGAAGTGCGAGTGAAACGGGGGAAAGCCCCTTATTAAGGCACAGATCTCATGAGAGCTCACTCACTATCGTGAGAACAGCATGGAGGAGCCACCCCCATGATCTAATCTCCCCCCATGAGGTCCCACCCCCAACACGTGTGGATCACAACTCAAGATGTAATTTTGGGTGGGGACACAGCCAAACTGTATCACCTATGACCCAGCAATTTCCTCCTAGGTATTCCTTTTTTTTGGAGATGGAGTCTTGCTCTGTCGCCCAGGATAGAGTGCAGTGGCACAATCTTGGCTCACTGCAAGCTCTGCCTCCCAGGTTCACACCATTCTGCTGCTTCAGTCTCCCAAGTAGCTGGGACCACAGGTGCCACCACCATGCCCGCTAATTTTTTGTATTTTTGGTAGAGACGGGGTTTCACCGTGTTAGCCAGGATGGTCTCGATCTCCTGACCTTGTGATCTATTTGCTTCGGCCTTCCAAAGTACTGGGATTACAGGCATGAGCCACCATGCCTGACCCCTCGTAGGTATTCCTTTAAGACATCTGTAAGCTTATATCCACAGAAAGACTTATGTTCAATGCCAGAGTATCTTTATTCATAATAACTTAAAAATGAAAACAACCCAAGTATCCATCAATAGAAAAATAAATAAACAAATGGCCATATAATGGAATCAAAAGGAAATTACTAATTCATGCAACAACATGGATGAATCTCAAAGGGCTGAGTGAAAGAAGCATTACACAAAAGAGCACATACTATTCGATTTATATAAAGTCCTAGGAAGGTGAAAATCATCTATGAGTTAAAAAATGGTTCAAAGAGTGGTCACATACTACAATGGGAATTATCTGGGAAGGAGTATAAGAGAACTTTCTGGGGTGATAATATCCTAAAACAAGACAGATTGGGGTTAATGTGTATTAGTCAAAAGTCACCAAGTGGTATGTATGAGATTATTGCGTTTTACTCTGTAAATTTCACCTTTAAGAAAGTAAACAAATATTGAGTTCTAGTTAATGATACTCATACTGAAATATCTAGAGGGAATTGTATTGATGTCTTCAACTTATGAAATATACCTAAAAAATTAGATGGTTAAGCCAGGCATGTCGGCTCACACCTGTAATCCGAGCACTTTGGGAGGCCAAAGTAGGCAGATCACTCGAGTCCAGGAGTTCAAGATCAGCTTGGGCAACGATATCGTGTCTCTACAAAAATTACAAAAAATTAGCTGGGCATGGTGGCATGTGCCTATAGTTCCAGCTACTCAGGAGGCTGAGGTGGGAAGATC